TGCAAAAATGGTACAGGCATCGAAAGCTCTCAATTAATAACTGTGGAAGTGCATCTAGAACACTAAGTTGAGAGCACGCAATAAGCTAATATGCGATATGCCATAAGCTTGTAATGCGATGAAGAAGAAGAAGAAGAAGGGCGAATTTAGAATCAAGAAGCAGTATAAGATTTAAATAATATCTCAACAATTTGTGACTCTTTATCAAATCCAACGGTACGTATGGAAAGGTGAATAAATTTAGAAGATATCTTTGATAGAAATATTCAATTTTTAGTTCAAACCCGTTCTATAAAGAGAGGTAAAGTGGGGGTTGTGCTAAGTAGGACGGAAATTAGATCAAACACACTATGTGTGCTATAACTCATATCACAGTAGCAAGAGGAAGATTTGGACGAATCCCGTGCGTTCCATGAAAAAATTGGCAAAGGGGCAAAGGTAGAGGTGAGAAGGGTCACGGGTACGAAGGAAAACTCATTTGATAACTGACCGCATCCAGGAGCTGCTGTTTGAGCGCTACCAGAAGATTTCAAACTTTCTCAAGCGAAAGAATCCTGTGATCCTGTTCACATACGAGAGCATGTAGATCCTGTGTCGAATTCCCGAATCGCTCCCTGGCGGCGAAAGACGTGGTTTTGACCGATGAGAACGAAAATGTGTATTTGACAAAGCATCCAGCTAGTGTTATGTTATTTGGGTTGGTGGCATCGGATGGTAAAAGCATGGACTCGGTGTTCATTCCTGAAGGGGATAAAGTGAATACGGTGGTGTATTTTGGCATTCTTAGTATGTCCTACCGTGGATTACTGAGCAATATAAACCGGAGCCAAATGTGATATTTCAGGAAAACGAGGTACCATTCCACACCTCGAACCGCACGCAAAATCGGCTGAAGGAACATCTGCCGTTCTGACCGAAAGATATGTGGCTGTCATCTAGCCCCGATACTTACCCCTTGGATTAGTCAGTGTGGCGCGATATGAAGACCGCTGACCCACGGCTGGGAGATATGGATCCGGACAATATTATCAGAACCTGTCGAGCATTCCGGAAGCGTAATTGCGGCAAATTCCATCGATGATTCAGATATTTTGTATGTTTTAAAAGTGTTTAATGGTGCAAACATTATCACGCATACGGTAGCATGAACTCGATCATAAGTGATGTGTTGTGTTTCGTGGGATTCGGCTGCCTAAGAGCACCCGCACCAATGCGTTGCTATTCGGGCTTTCGCACCGATGGTTGCTAAACTTATCGTCGAACTTCGAACTGAAATTGATCACAGAGATTCGTTTTCGAAAATATTGATATACCTTACCACGAAGACTGAAGATTGAAGGTTAAGACCCAACTACAGACCCAGGTACTCAAGAAATGGTCCTCCGGAAGATCCGAATAGCCCAGCTTTTTTTTAAATCACTTGTTGTGATGCTACATGAATGAATTTGAATCTGGGACCAGCATGCGCACAATGGTGGTCACGAAACTGTCCTCAGGGAGATCCGAAACATCCATTAAGTGGTCAATTCGTAAAAATGATCGAAATATCGATCTTTGTATGCTCATCTTATAAAAGTTGCGCACCAAAATGTATAAAAGCATTTTCGGATGCCCATCTGATTACGTAAAAAAATATGAAACCCTTAAGAAGTTCTGATTGATAGAAATGTGGGGAAGATCTTTAAAAGTAAGTTTCGACAGCTCCAGGGCAATCTCATAGATTTCAGGAAAATTTACTTCAGTGAAGATCAAGAGCTTCAGGACAGCTCCATTACATCCAGGAAAATTTAAGCTTAAAGACCTATGAGTAAGTTACGTGAACTTCGGGTAAGTTCTGAAAATGTCAGGGCAGTTTCATAAATATCAGGAAAACTGTGAGAACTTAAACTTTATGGCAGTTTCATTTATTTAAGTAAAATAGAGGAAACCATCAAGAAGTTCCGCAAATTTAAGGATAGCAAAAAAAACTTCAGGAAAAGTACTTAAAAACATTAAGAAAACTACACAGAACACGTATCTTAAAGGGAAATTTAAAGATCTTCTGGGCAGTTCCATTAATTTCTGAACAATTCCAGGAACATCATTAGGAAAGTTTCGTAGGCAAACTGCGTGAACAAAAGGAAAGTTCCGCAGCATTTTTGTGAACTTCAGGAAAACTTTAGGATTTTAAAGTGGTTCCAAAAGCTTCAGGAAACTGCAGGAACTTGTAAAAAAAAATCAGGGATATCCAGAAAACTTTAGGAACGTCAAAATTATTTGATAAAGATATGTGGAGATAACTTGATGAAAATTGACATTTTAAAGAACTTCCAAGAACTTCAAAGAAGTTAAACTAGAGAGCTTTAGGGAATTTCAGAGATATTAACGGCACTTCCAATAACTTCATAACTTTGAGAACTTTAAGAAATTTCAGACATTCAGGGAAGTTCGAAGATTTGTATGCGTAAGCTCCGATAAATTCCGGTCAATTTTATAAAATTCAGAAAAAAAATGAGATTTTTTTGAGAATTGAGAGTGCTTCTGGAATGGAAAAAAAAATAAATAAATAAACAAATAAATAAATAAATAAGTAAATAAATAGGGGATTTTACATATTCTCGGCAATCTCAGCAGTTGTCCAACTAAAAATGAAACTATATACGCCATAATACAAGAAAAACATACAAAATTACTGTAGATGTGTTTGCTTGCTGTTTCTTTTTCGCATGTCTTACTAAGAATCTTAATGTTTTGTCACAAATGTTGGAATTTTCGATGTAAAGTTGCGAGGCACTATTTCTATTATCGTCAATGCAATTTCTTCTATCGGCAACAAAAATGCTTACTTCGTCAACCGAAAATAAAAATAAAAATGTCTACATGTGTTAGTGTCATTTCAGATTTGTTGCGGCCGGTGACCATACACGTCACTTAGTTTGTTTTATGTTAGCAAAGGGCCAATGTTGAAAAGTGCAGAAATGCAAATCGAATTTTAGAATGTAATATTGTTTTTAGGTTCACATATAATTCAATATATAAATCAAACAACCGAACTTATTCACCTATTTCGATTAGCTATTTCGTTTAAATTTAAAATCCAGCGGAAAAAAAATTAAGAAAATATCGGCAAGTGGTTGGTTTGAACGAATAATGTTTACAGAGATAGTGTTTTTAAATAATTAAATTGTATTTTCCATGTGACATGTTTTGATTTTAATTGTCATTGTAACCATGATATTTTCTGTCAAAACATTGGACAGTTGTGTCGATTACCATGTAATCACAACGACATTCATGGTTCACAACAATGAAAATCAAGGTTTTTAGAAATTTTATTATCATTTTTTGAGTATTGATCATTTATAATAGAATTTAGTTTTTCTTCAGTTCAACTATTTCACAATAATTGTTAATGTACTGGAAATTCAACAATAAAAATAATTGGACATTCGTTGTTTATTATGGTTATTTTTTTCGGGTATTAAATTCGGGTATTAAAGAGGATTCTTAAATATCTATGAATTTATTGTTAATGATCAACAATATGTTAACAAATAATTTAAAGCTTACACTCAACAACTCAAATTTCATATTGTATAAGTTCCGTTTTCCAAGAAATGATTTTGCAATCATATTTGGTTTGAATTTAACTCGTATGTAAATAAATGAGTGAAGGCTTGAGATACTGTATGTACATACCTGTTTAAATATGTGTTTCATGGACAAATTTTATTTATTTATTCACATTTTAACCCATGCGTAATCAAGCTTTCCCCTTAACAAAAATGATTTGGTCTCATTTCATAATATCTGGATCGATTTTGATAAAACAGCTTACAATCCATCGGGGATTAGCACTTTTGTTAGGTTTTCACATGGTTGTGCTTATTTTTTGTTTGATTTAAAAATTGCTTGAGCTCAAACCGGTTTAAAAACTGGGCTTGATCCTAAGAAATTTTATTGAATATTTTGTTTTATTTTTTCCGGGGATAAAGTCATGTGGTTATAAATAATAATAAATGATTTGCAATTTGATTTTCTTCGCTTGTATACATAAAAAGTGAAAAAGTAATTTATTAAAATACATGAACAATGATAAATTTAACAATGTGAGGAAACTAAATTAAAACTTTAAATGCACGTTTCCTTGTTTAAATTTTTCTTTTGCGCTTCCATGTCTTTCTGTTTTCTTTCCTTGATTTCCGCTTTTACTTTCTTTTTCAATGCTTTAATCTGTATTGCTTCTTCTTTGTCCGCTTTTTGCTTCAATTTTAATTCTCTTTTTGCAGCTTTTTCCTCTTCAAATTTGATTTTCTGAATATTCCTTCGTTCAACTTTCTCCAGTTTTAATCTGGCAGCTTCATTCCGGTGATTTTCTTTCAGTCTTATTTCTGGCAACCTTTCTTTGGCTGTCAAAATTTTATACGAATGTTTTTTTTTTTTTCTTTGATTTGTTTTCCGTCGATCTTGTTTTCCGTGCTGAGCACCAATGCTACCGACGCCAGGAAGGCAGCTCCCACACACCTGGACCCTACCTATCGACCCATCAACTCATGAACCGGGGACCAACGGCTTTACTTCCTTACTTTACGGCGCCGACTGGGATTGAACCCAGGCCTGCTGGGGTGAGAGGTAATCACGCTACCACTACACCACCGGCGCCGCTTTATACGAATGTTGATTATAGTTTCTGTGCCTTGAACTTCTTTTCAAATCATCTGGGGTGTCCAGAAAATCCACCAAATTTGGATTTTCAGCTGAGGGGCTGCAAAAGGTTTCTGGTGTTTTCGTATGGTTAGCAGCCGTACTGCTCAAGAAAGTATCATGGTCTTCAACTTCGAGAATCTCTGACTCCAGGATGCTACTTTTGTCTGGTTCCGTGTCTTTGGGCCATGAACTGTTATGAGGAAGTTCATTGTGTAAAAGATTTTCTGTTGGATTTTCATCTGAAATGACAACTGAACACATTTAGTTATCAAAAACCAATCAAATTATCGTCAGTAATGAAATAGTTTAATACATTATTTATTACCTATAAACATCGGCATGTCAGCAAAATGCCCAGTAGTTGCATCAATATTCGGAATGAATGATTTATTGCTTTGATGACAAAGGATATTCTTGCAGATAAACGCTAGTACTCTGTCTTCTTGGGAAAGGTTCTCCGATGTTTCCTTCTTATACAATTGTATTTTTTCAGGCCCCAGCATTTTCAGAGATTCGTCGACTAGGTGATACGGAACCACGAATTCTGTTTCATGAGGATCCTCAGCATCATTCAGGTTGCTTACTGTCAAGGTTGGAGCGTCATAATTGTCCTCATAGGATTGAGTGATACATTTTGTATAATCGACAGCGTTCGGATTAAGCGGAAACAAGCCACATGTAGCGAATGCACTAACGATAGTATTAGTGCTAAATGCTGTATCCATAGCATTTTTCAACAGTGGTCCAAGGTTTATCAACGTTACTGCCACGGACTTGTTATGCAATTTCCAAGCTTCTACTATTTGGTACCATCTGGTTTTGAAAGGTTTGAAAACTCCAACGTCTGCTGGCTGCAAGATTCTGGTAGCATTGGGGAAGAGAGCAATCAAAATTATGCCAAGCCGTTTACAGGCATCTGCTGCTTCTAGGGCCGTATGTAATTTTTGGCCATCCACAAAGTAAATAACAGGAAACTTTGATCCTTTCTTCACCAGAAAGGGATACAGAATCTTGGTGACGTAAAGAACGAAATTTTTAGTATCCATCCACCCGTTTTCAGAATTTCCGAGTCCCCAATCGTTTTTGGGAAAAAATGACGTCTGGCGGAACGACGCTGCCGTCAGCGCAGAATGTGAACATTTTGTTTGCTACTACCTGTTTCAACGAAAGGGACGTTTTTCGCCCCATATGTAGCGATGACTTTTGCTGAAACGGGATTCAAACAGAACCCTGATTCATCTCCGTTCAGTATTCTTGAAGGATCACTCAGTATGTCAATTAACCCGTGATCGATCAGGTAATCCTGAACTGTTCGAAACCAATTACGAATATTTTTTTTCCGAAACTTACTCGCTAGCCAACGTCACCGATTCTGGTGTCCTGATCGCCAGCTGAGGGTACATTGTTCTTGAATGGAGTTTTCCTTGGATTTGCCTTTAAATACGTCAAAATCTTGTAAACTAAAGCAGTGCAAGTAACTGGAAACCCTTTTCGTTCCATTGTCTTCAGCCATAACACAATGTCACGTGCTTCTGCTGCTGTGAATACCGTGTATGGGCCAGTAGTACCCTTATTTTTACATTTGGCGCTAAGCCGATACTGCAATGTTGTTCGTGGAACTCCGAAGTACTTCGAGGCATAGTTGGTGGACATTGCACCTTTTTGAACATTGGCAACAGAATTCTCCATTTTAGATTCTTTATATGCTTTTATCTTCTGTCTTGCAAGTATTGTTGGTTGTTTGGTATTTCTTGGTTGGAGAATAATATTCGACCCGTAAGCTATATCTGCAAGTGAAAAAAAATGATCTGAGATGGTATTTAGATGTGATTTGATGTCAATAAATAAACGTTAACTCTTCTATGCATGACTAGCCGCATAAATGCGAACCATTACTTAAGCTTACCAAAAATAAAAGTGCTGGGGTCACATTACTAATCTCGAAACGAAAGACTTTTTGTACGAACGCTTGTATGAAAAAGTTTTTCGTTTCGAGATGCGCAATGTTGCCTCTGGTTTCCGTTCCTCGTGCTATGCTATGCTACTTACCGTTCCGATGCTCCGGTCTTCGAATGGACAGATCCAACGGGGTAGTGTCTTCGGACGACATGGCATGGCTATGCTATGCTACTTACCGTTCCGATGCTCCGGTCTTCGAATGGACAGATCCAACGGGGTAGTGTCTTCGGACGACATGGCATTGAACATGGACCACTATTTCCACACACAAAAACCGCACGCGAACTTTCCTTCTTCGTATACACACAATTTGTCACCGAAGGTTTTGACGTTTAACAGTCAATGTGATATATGCTAGGTCAGGCAATGACAAAGTCGTTGCTTTTTTCCTTTACCGGCTGGAACAGCAAATGTGATGTCACGCTCAATGCAGAGTAAATAGCATGCGAATGGATGAAACTATAATTATACATTACCATACCAGAACTTCACTCATTGTTCCAATCCAGTATAGATTCTCGACCAACAATTGAAATAGGCTGAACAACCAATCGTAAGCAATGACTTTAAACGCAACATTCTCGAAAATTAAAACATATCCACGCAAACTATCAATGACATTTGATAGAGGAAGTTCACTCTATAAGATGGTGGTATTAGGTTGCGTGGGTATGTTTTGATTATCGATAATTTTGCGTTTAAAGCCATTGTTTAGGTTTGGACGTTTCGCCTGTTTCAATTATTGGTATAGTCAGGTATCGAGCTAGGTCCTTTGTAAATTAATTGACAACTCCATCGCATACACATTCTTGTTTTGCATTTTGCCTATAAAGCACCAGCAGTGTTGTCAGATTTGTAGGGTAATTAATAGTTTTATAGTGTTTACCAGTTCCATATTGATTTAACGTTAATGTGTCTTGAAAGCTATAGAGATTAGCATTTAAACATTAAATTTTTCGTATTTTAATATCTACATTGATTCAGGCATTTATTGGTCCAATAATTAATTAAAATATATAGGATTCAACAAATTTCCAAATTTCTGAACCAACAATATTTTTGTTATTCTGGCAATTAGGAGAAAGGGGAAAAAAGTGGCTGCCGCTGAAATATAGCACGAAAAATAATCTCAAAACTTTATCACTGATTTTTAGTCAGTTAGCGACATATATTGATTGTATCTTCGTGGTATTTGAAGGTTTTTAAAAGTACGTAGTGACTTATCTATTGTCAGAGTGATTAATCAGCACTAGAGAGGAAAAAAAGTCGTTCTAAAATTGTAAGTATTATTTTGCTTTTCTTGCTGTGTTTTGTTCGGCAACCGAAAAATGCCATCTTAAAATAGTAATAGATTAATTTTTCAAATAGCTTGCTTGGATTTTATTACTTTCATATTATGTTACATGGAAAAGTAAGCAAAAACATTGAATATGTTAGTGTCGCAAAACTTGGTTTTATGCTGCAAAAATAGACTGTTTGAAGGGTATTTATTCAGTACTGTCGAAAATAGTCACATGCTGCCGAATCCATAATTTACCCTAAATAAATAAATAAATAAATAAGCAAAAAAAAAAAAATAAAAAAAAAAAAATCAATGAATAAATAAATAAACATTTTTCATAGAAATTGATGAATGTTCAAGACGTTCCAGAAACTCAGGGAATTTCCGAAACTTCACCAAAGTACCAAGACGTTTATTAAATTATGAGCATCAGGAAAATGTAAGATCATTTTAAGGAAGTTCCATGGTATTCAATGCAGTTTAAAGAACTGCAAAAAATGCAGAAACTTCAGCGACGATCAGATTATGTTCAAAAAAATCGCGAGATCTTTTAAAATGTTCAGAAATCTTCAAGAACGTATAGAGACCTTCAGAGAAGTATATAGATTTTTTGGTAGTTTCATTATATTTTGGGAAGTTCCCGGAACTTCGTTGATGATTTGAGATCTTCATATCAGTTTAATTTATTTAAGGAAAATTGCAGGATATTTTAAGGAATTCAAAGGAATTATGGGCTATTTAAATAATTTCATGAATTTTTCGATGCTTCAGAAACCATGCCAAGATTCAAAACCTTAGGGAAGTCCAAATAAAACTAGGATTTTTATGCGAATTGATTACTTTTGTGGATGTTCAAAATCTTTCAGAGAACCACACCGCTACCTGATTGCATATGCTAGTCTTAGATCCTAATTCATACATGAAGCTTCAGAATAAGTGAATCGTGAAGCTCTTGAATTTTGTTTTATAATTTTAACGCATGGTCTGGACCTCCCAAAAGACCAAATTTATTCATATATCACAATGTTCAAGAGAAAAACAAAACAAACATTTCATAGACAGCAACGCTTGGGCCGGTTGCTATCGCGCCGCTATATTTGTCAACCCGCTGTTCACTGAGAGGCAGATTGTTATTTCCCGCACTTTAATAGCAACCCCCAGTGCGGTTACTGCGTTATGGTTGTGGTTGCTAAAATAGCTTTAGCAACGCATTGGTGCGGGTGCTCTAAGACAGCTGTTTTTGCTTACTGAGCAGAAAATCGTGGGTTCAAACGCAGGCCCATCATATTAAAGATTTGTATAGTCACATTGCGTGCTCATCGTGTGGAAATTATGGAAATTTTCCTCGTTTTTGACGGTTTGAATGGCTAAAAACCACAGCTTGGTCATAAGTGGTTTGATGTAATATGCGGGGCTTGGTGGCCTTAAAGCGAAAGTTACTGCTGACATCATGGGTTTAATCTCATGACCCGTCACATTCAAGATTCGTTAATCGCTTTTGTTTTCTTAACTCGAACACCTATCCCTTTTATCCTTTTATATTCGGGTGTGGCTAATTATTGCCTAGTCTCAAGCATCGTCTGTTGGTTCTCTACGTAATTGCAGTTGATCAGGCAATAACGAAGTAGCAACTGTGGCCAGCCAATCATGCTCATGCAGTCTCTTTAGTAATATTTAGAAGTTTTACGAAAATCCTCCAATTTATTGATACAGTAATGACTCGATTTTTTCAGCCCCTCCACTCTTTAGACTTTAAGCCTTAAAAAAATCACATAACAGTAATTCCAAATCTTTTTCATTCATATTTAAAATTATACTTTGGTGCAATAAGACCACAGAAAAAACGCATGGGCTTTGTAGAATATTACAAAAGATCTTCAAAACCGGTGCTGACAAAATTGGGTCATTATTGTTTTTGAAAATTTGACTTCGTATTTTTTAAAATAATTTGAATATAGTGTCACTAAGTTACACACATAAGCATAAGACAACAGCCCAAGAAACAATTTTGATTTTATGAGGGTTCTGTTGACCATGATTGAGACTTGTAGAATTTTAAAACCTCGATAAAACTTGCGATGTTAATTAAGATTTAGTAGCAGCAGTGTTTGCATGATGATTTTGTAAGCTTTTGAACCTGAGTAAAATAACATTGAAATGTATGTACTGGAATTTTTTGTAGAGCAAAACTCATCAAAACAATCCCTTAAGTACCCCTTAATTTGAATCCTCATATCTCTTGATATCTATTTTAGAAAATTATGTTCAAGAAATTTTGATCATTTTCACTCCGGTGCCTCCGAATTACGGCACTTGTCCCGATCTCCAAAGAATCCTAAAATAACAACACATCCCAAATGCGTGTGTGACTCATAAATCTAGTGAAACGTAATATTTTTTCACTTTCTCGGTTTGAATTCCATTTTGGCGCAAATTTTGCATACCATACCCATCTACTCGACGACGAATTTATTCAAGGTAGCTGCCCTGGAACCCCTTGGGAGGAAAATTCAGCGACTTTTTCCTTGTCATTCTGTTTCCTTGGAATAGAAGGGGTTTTATCAAAATGTTTATGCTACATTCCCTTCCCGGTGTTCCGCTGCCGTTGCTTCTGCCGTCTTCAGACACCCTTTTCTACATTGAAATTCGCATTCACGCACGCATGCTTGAGATCCATTCCCCCTTCGTCTTCAAACGAACCACTCACGCTCGTCGCATCATCATCATCAGACTGGCGACGGCGGCGGCGGTGACAGAAATATGCAAATGCGTATCGAAGGAATATTCCAATCAGCATTTTTTTCCCTCTCGGATCTCGATGGCACCGTTCCACCTTTTCGGCAGGGATTTTCCTTTGGCGCTGGGTATTCTGGGTATTCTCGTTCTGTGATGTGTTCCACCAGCATGTGCGACGAACGAAATGAGAATTTGAATTTATTCCCGCCGCGCTGGCTGCTGATTTTGATGCTGCTTGGGATGTGGGCCACTGCGGCTGTTGTCACATGTTCTCGGTGGGATGCTTGCCGTGTACCTTTTGCTAGAAGAAAAAAAGGTGAGTTTTGGGTGGTTAAAGGAAAGAGGGGCTAGATGATCGAATTTATCTTGAATTGATGAATAACAAATGTATGCCATAGCTTCGATACAATTAACCCCCTGTTCCCCTACGATTCCGATCCAAGCCATCTCGAGATGGAAACCGCTCACTCGCGCGCCCGTTGTGTATGGCAACAGCAGCGCTGAAGAATAACCCATAGCTACCGTTGGGAGTTAGATCTGAATTTAAAATTATATATGATTTTGAGAGTGTGTCCACCACCCTTCCTCAACCCCAGCAAGCTCGCGTGACAAGCAGCGCAAAAGGACATTGAATTTCTCCAGCGAGCGCAAAGGTAGTGTATGTGCGGCATAATAAAATCCTTTTTCTCCGTGCATGATGGCACTTCTGAGAGAAAGGGATGAAAGCTGGGGAGGTGGAGAGGTAGGGATGTGTGTGTGTTCCATCATCTTTCTTCGGCTCCTAAGGTCTTTCTAAACTCTTTTGAAGCGAAGCTCGTCGATTGGGACTGTCGACAGTGATCAACCAACGAACGCAACAAACGAGCTGTGCCTGCTGGAGTGGGTGGAGAAGGGCGCGGTGTGGTGTTCACAACACCCCGGGATTGGAAATAAAAATTTGCATACCTTCGTGAAAATTTCGCTATTCATGCGAGCTAAAATTTCCATTCGATGCGAAGGAGGTGCTCGATGGTGTTTTTTTTTTGTGTATGATATTTTTATTTTCGCTGGAAAAACGAAATCAAACGAGAATGCGTACATGTGTCTTTCACCTTGCTGTTTGAAGTTTCATATTTTGCCTGATTTCAAAATTATTGGAATTTCTTCATGTTCTTCGAGTGGTGTCAATTGGAAAACAATCGTAAAACTCATTCAATAGCCCAACAACAACCAATGCCAT